TGTTAGATGGGAACTCGAGTTTTTCGTTAAGATTATGGGAAAGATTACGAAAGCGGTTGGGTGCCATGTTGAAGATGAACTCTGACTAGCGTCCGTGAATGGCATGGACAAACGAAGAAAAATATCCAGTATGAAGAGGACTCGTTGAGAGCTTGTGTGTTGGACCAAGATGGATCTAAGGGTAGTTAATTGTCGTTGACGGAGTTGCCTACAATAACTGTTGCCAATTCGTATCGGAAACAACATCGTATGAAGTTCGTTGGGTAAGAGGGTATGACTCCTTTGTGTTGTTGCATGTCCAACGGGAGTGTTGTACTCGGATCAAAGACCGTGCAAGGGACGATGGAAGCGATCAAAGAATCCAAGTAAGGCCGTGTTTTGAGAGTTATGGTAGTAATTGGTGTTGGTCGAGCTTGAAGTCTCTTGAGCACCCTGTGTTTTGTTGATCTGTATCAGAGTAGCGCAGCGGAAGCGTGAGGCGGATAACATGTTAGACTGTTTTACTGTTGTCGCTTGAGAGGATTGCATGAGGTGTTCATATGTCTAAGTTGAAAAGGTACATTGATTCAGGTGGATGGTTTACAAGTGAGAGGGAATTTGACTTCGGAGGCGTGGCTAGTTCTAGTTGTTGATAAGAAACAACTTCGAAGTGTAGAGGTTCCTTTGGTGGAAGTAGTTATGGGAGAATTGGGTTTGGAAGAATTGGAATGCGAGAGTCTTATCCAGAGTTGTTTGGATCAGATAACATTTTCGAGGACGAAAATTCCTAAAGTGGGGGAGAGTTGTAACAGCCCAAATTTCATTAAATAATTAATTGTGTTAATTAATTGATTTATTTGGATTATTCTAATTATTTGAATAATTAGATGTTTGTTTAATGGATTGATAGATGTTTTGAGAAAGTAAATATAATGGAAAGAAAATGATAGAAAGAAAAGAAAAGAAAAGAAATAAAAGGATATAAAAAGGGGATTGGAGAGAAAGAGAAAGATAGAAAGAAAGAAAGAAAAGAGAAAGAAAGAAGAAGAGGAGAAATGAAGAGGAAAAAGGGAAAACTTGGAGGATCATCAAGAACCAACATCAAAGCTCCGATTAATCGAGGTAAGGGTGAGAAACATTGCTATTTAATCATTGTATGCTATTATGTATGTTGGGTTTGGGTTTGTGGATGTTTTTCATCACTTTCCATTTAGGGCAAAATGTTGGATAATCGGTAGATTGATGATTTAATCGGTTGAAATCGAGTAATAATGCCGTAGAATAGTCGGGTAACATGTATTGATGCTGTTTATACTGATTTGGATGTGTAAGAGAGGGTTGATGATGGATTGGTGAAGGAGGGACAGAATAGGATTCTGTTCTGCGCAGGTTCGCTGGCTCTCGCCAGGCGAGCGAAGGCGAAGCTTCGCCAGGCGAAGCCTAGCGAATGTTGGCGAATAATTATAATTAAATCCCAGTGGACTTCGCTGGCGAGTTCGCCAAGCGAAGGTGGATAGCGAAGGTTCGCCCAGCGAAGGTGCTGGCGAATGGTGGCGAATGAAGTCAGTAGCTACTGACTTGGGCTCGCTGGGAGGTCTCGCCAGGCGAAGCCTAGCGAATGTTTGCTGAGAGAGTTCGCCAGGCGAAGGCCAGGCGAAGGTTCGCTGCGAGGGTTCGCCAGGCGAATGAAGGCGAATGTGACAGTATATTTTCTTTGCTGTGTTATCCAAATGGTGATTGTTTGGTTGATTCGCATATGTTTATACTTCTATGTTATGAATGAGTATGTGAACTATCATGATAACATGTGCTGTGGGTAGCCTTCGGGCGTGAATCCTAGAGTTGTGATATGAATGATTAATTGTAATTGGTTAAAATACATGAGAACATAATGATGATTATGTGTGTATTAATTGATGAGTTTGTGAATGTTTGATTGTTGTGTACAATTATGTAATAAGTATGCAGGAGAATATTGTGGAAATATGTGTGCATAACTTATAATTGTATGATTGGTATCGTGATGTGTACACCTTGTATGAGATGGCATGAGATAAAGAATAAACATACTATGAAAAATGTGTTGTGGATGCATATTGTTTATATGCGATTGTATGTTAAAAATACATGAAGAATGCATGAGAGCATAATGATGGATATGCGTGCAGTGCTTGCTAAATATGATGTTGTATTGAATTGTGAATATTTGTGGATAATGCATGGGAACATATCGCGGATATGTGTGCATTGTTAATAATTGTATGAGATGCAGGGGAACATATCGTGGATATGTGTGCATCGTTAATAATTGTGAGAAATGCATGGGAACATATCGTGGATATGTGTGCATTGTGTGATAGTATTGAATTATGAATACGTTGATGATTATTATGATATGTTGTGTGTGCAATCATGATATAATTCACGAAGGGGTGAATTATTCGAATACATGGGAATATAATGATGAATGTATGTGTATTGCCTAATGAATTGTGAGTGCATATTTGTATGCGATTGTTGTGTAAATGCATGGGAACATATGTGATATGTGTGCATTGTTGTTGAATATGATGATGATGATGGGAGAAATGAATACATTGATAAATGTTTGATATATGTTGTATGTGCAATCATAATGAAATTCTCGAAGGGGTGAATTATTCGAATGCATGGGATTAAGACGCGGGAACGGTCTTAAGTGCATTTATTGTGATTGGTTGATTGTACATGCATCATTCAGTCAAAAGGCAATGTCTGTTAGTTTCGTGGAAACTAGTGGCTTGTCCCAAACCTAGAAGGGTGGGTTTGAAGCCTAGGGGACGGGCTTGGTTGTTATCGGTCTAGAAGGGTGGACCCGGTTTAAAGTAAAAACCGAAAAATGATAACGAGTTATCGGTCTAGAAGGGTGGACCCGGTTTAGAGTGAAAACCGAAAAAAAGATAACGTGAGTCGGTACCGCATAGCATTGAGTTGCATTGGATATGTTGAGTCACATTGCATAATATTGTTGTTGTATAAATGTGCTTGTGGATGTTCATAATGTTGATATATGTGAACGTGATATGATTATGATTATGAGAATGAAGTGTGGTGAGAAATGTGAATATGTGTTATAGGATACCTATATATACATGATTTTATGCTTTGATTATTATGGTAATATTTCTCACCCTTCTGCTGTTTTATAATGCTCTATGAGGCATTGCAGATTAGGTTGCTGGAGGCCTTTATGAAGTTCTGCTTGTAGTTCGAGGTCGCTACGTGTGTAGCGGTTTAGTAATTAATTGTGGGTCGAGTCATGCTCTGGTAGTGTAACACGGGGATCGATTGCTTATGTTTTAGGATTACATTATGTAACCTAAGTTATGTTTTCATATTTGGAGTAATTGGGATAATGAGATGTTGGCCTTAGTGCCCAGAGATGTTGATTTTATATGATGAAAGTAAATGTTTCTTTTAAAGGATTTTCATTAATGAATCCGCTGCTGCATGCAAACTGAAATTTTGTAAAGCATGATTATTTATTGAAATATTAATGAGCATGACAGATTGTTTTGATGTGGTGCAAGTTTTGTGTGACGCCCTTTTTATTTGGATGCATGTTAATTTTACTCTGATTATGCATATATTTTCCGTGGGGTTTAGAAGGGTGTTACACTACCAAATATGGGTTACATGATAGTGAATCGTTATAATGTTGTACTTGTCTGTTTAGGAATTGAATGCTGGACTTTCTTCCCTATGACATCTTCATTTTCACCGAATGCAACAATTTACTACATTGGTTTTGTAAACAGAAATCATTGGGTTCAGGTACTTAGTTGTTTTTGGATAATGCGATTAAACCTAATTCTTTTTCGTTATTTTTACTTAATATTGCGATTTATTTTTTTATTTAGGTAAACATGAAAGAAAGGTTTCCATTGCCACCAGTGACAGTAGATTGGAAGAAGTTTCGTTCTCCAGCAGCAACATCTTGGATGATAGGATTTGCAGGACGTCTACAACATTGGCAACAACTTACGCCTACATTACCAACGCATTATGAATTATAAATTATGTTACTCATTTTTAATTTCAAAACAAGAATCGGAAATTATGTTAATCGTTTTTAATTGCAAAACATGAATCGTGAATCATGTTACTCATTTTTTATTACAAAACATGAATCGTGAATTATGTTACTCATTTTTAATTGCAAAACATGAATCGTGAATTATGTTACTCGTTTTTAATTGCAAAACATGAATCGTGAATTATGTTACTCGTTTTTAATTGCAAAACATGAATCGTGAATTATATTAACACATAAACATAAACTAAATAGGTCAAATTAGTCTAAAAGTTAACACATGAACATAAACCAATTAGGTCAAATCTGTCTAAAGGTTAACATATAATCATAAATATAAATAAAAGTCATTGTGATAGACCAAGATGTAAAGCTTCGAACAAATCAGTAAACTGTGGGTCATCCTCTTCAGCACCAGTCTGCTGAAGATAACGATGTATCAATGAAGACATACGAGCCACTATAGGATCAGATGGTCCTGCTTCATATACAGGAACTGGCATCTCTGTTGTCGCATCAATACTGGGCGGTACCAGACGAGGATGCGAAACACGATGATACCACTCAAGATACCCATCATCTGTCTCATATGGGGTGGTGGCTGGTGCTGTCGGACGAATCACATTTTGAACGCTCTGATGGTAACTAATCCAATCAACATCAATATCACCAGCCATTCAAGAATCAAGAGGTGGATATGGAACATACTGCCTGTATCCAAACTGACGCAGACATCTGTCAGGCATGTATGAAACAATAGTGTCACCCCACCTCAGACACCCCCTATAGAGACATAACTCATCAAACTGACGTTATACTCTATGATTCTCGAATAGGCGCCATATGACATCAGCTCGTCCAGAATAGGTCGCAAGTCATCCACCTTCAAGGCACCTTGCCTATAAGACCATTTCATCGCTCGTGGGAGACCCACATTATTAGCTGGTATCTAGTTCTCTCCTCTTTTTTCAAGTGTAGGAAAATACTCATGAATCCAGCACTATTACAAAATTTAAAATAATTAATTATAACATAATAAACTAGATAAATAAAATTAATATACTAGATAAAATTAATTAAAACAAAATATACTAAATTAAAATAAATACCTGTAGGAGAGTCGGATAACCACCAAGCTGCTTACAGCTGAACATGGAAGCATCTCCGAGATATCGGTAAAGAGTAACCAACGCAGCAGCTGCCCAACTGTATCCTGATAATCCATTCAAGTCTATAAACAGTGAGAGGTATCGTGCCTCGACAAGCGTAAACGTCTTGTCCGCAAAAATAGTGGAACCCACTAACATCAGCAAATAAGCTCTAGTGGCATAATCCCATCGAGATGCAGCTCTGTGCTCTAGGAACCGATCATATAACCACTCCAGCTTATAGTAGGAACCCCTGCACTCACGGACTTGTTGTTGTGCTATTCTCTGTGACACTCCCAAATAATCAACAGCCCACTCAACAGCAAGCGCTTCACTAATATCTTGAGGGTTCCAGAAGACTCCCCTGATGGGCAAGTGAAGCAGGCAAGATACGTCATCTAGAGTAATCGTCATCTCACCAAATGGCATGTGAAATGAAGATGTCTCTAGATGTCACCTCTCTGCAAAAGCGGAAACTAAGTTTGTGTCTATCTTTGTTAAACGGGTTCTCTGAAGTGAAGCTAGATCAGACATAGATATACATCTCTCCATCTCTCTGGGTAACTGTAGTGGAACCCTCTGAGTCAACTTTATCCCATGTCCCGCCACCTTTAACTCTTTTTTTGACCCTCTCTCCTGAAAAAAATTAAAAGTAAAAAAATTATAAAATTCAATATTAAAAATTCAAATTCTATTCAATATTAAATAATTTTTGTTTACTTACCTCACCGAACCATATATGGTATGCAACATGTTGTTCGTATTTAACTAACAGAGACGTATCATACGGTCCTCCGGGATATCCAACCGGCTCGGATGCTGATGCAGATGCATCAAAATGCTCTTCTTCAGCCATCCTCGATGACTCACCCCGTCCTAGTCCACGAGGGATCCTACCATCTGCCTCTTGTGCGCACCACTGGAAAAAAAATCAATATAATTAAAAATTAAAAAAATAAATAAATAAATAAATATAATTAGAAAACAAAAATTAAAAAAAAAACAATGAATCGGAAGTCTTCAAGAAAGACTTCCGGAGATGAAACGAAACATTGAGTGAATCGGATGTCTTTAGGAAAGACTTTCGGTGACTAAACTAAAAAAATTTCTGAACCGGAAGTCTTCAAGAAAGAGTTCCGGTGAACAAACTCAAAAGTTTATGAACCGGAAGTCTTCATGAAAGAGTTTCGGTGAAGAAGCAAAAACAAAATACAAACCGGAAGACTTACTCTTAGTGTTCCGGTATGTATTGCAACTGAAATATGTTCCGGAAGTGTTTGTGTGAGAGTTCCGGTTTGTAACAAAATTTGAGAGCTTCCGGAAGTCTTAAAATGGAAAGTGAGAAATGGAAGTGAAAAATGAAAAAAAAATGTAAGATTATAGATATTTAACTAAGGGTATTTTGGTCCAATATTTTTGAGTGTAGGGGTGTGGGTATAAGGGTAGGGGTATGGGGTAAAACTTCCGTATTTTTTTACTACAAGGAGGTGAAGTGGGTCGAGCCCATAATTGTTATATATATATATATATATATATATATATATATATATATATATATATATATATATATATATATATATATATATATATATATATAATTTGTGATTATTAATGCTTCATGTCACGCTTAGTGTTTAGCTCTTTATTAGAATTTGTGATCAATTTTAATATCAATTTGTGGTCTTTGATTTAAATTTAGGACTAATTTTATTTAAATATGTGATTAGTTGTTGATTTAGGTTTAAGACTAAGTTCGAGAATTAATTTCGAGTTAACTTTGATTAGTCTTTATTAGGATTTTTTTATAGTTTATATCTTATTGGAATTCTTCAATAGGATTATGTGAATTTCTTTGCCATTATACATATGCTTGATGAATGCCCTCCATATACGATTGATTATCTCCATTTTCAAAGGAAAGGATCTCCTCCTTGTTGACTTCCATGTCATATGTAGCAAGCTCTAGGTCCATTCCCTTCATCCTAACTTTAGAATCGGAGTTGTCGCACTCCATGTAAGGTTCTGTCATGGACTCCTACTTATTTTATTTCCCTTCATCCTAGCCTTAGGATAGAAGTCGTCGTATTCCTTGTAGATTCCTGCCATGGACACTTACTTTTTACTTCCTTTTATCCTAGCCTTAGGTTTGGAGTCGTCGCACTCCATGAAAGTGTCTTGCCATGGACACTTACCTCTCCCCTAGAACCTTGACCACAGTCAAAAGTTCCTCACCCTCATTGAGGGGAACTAAGAATGCTCTGATTCAATTCTTGTCAGGATACGTAGGCACGAGATACGATGTCTTGGCGAGCATACTTAAGAATAATACCTTAAGTCTTCCCTTTACCCTTTTTACCTTTAGCAGACAAGATAATACAAATAAAACAAGAGGTTCCTATAGAGTACTAAAAATACTTAGGATGATAACACCTTCCTTAGGTATAACCAACCTCCGAACCTTAGATTCTCTTTTGCATTGTCTCTACATTGAAATTATGGTTTTTGACATTTACCATTTCCTTTGGATAAATCAAAGCTCGGTGGTGAATTTCAAAGATTTGTGATTCTAGTTAATTAATAACTTGATATCTGATTCTCACTTCAACAGAAATGGCGACTTCACTAGGGAATATTCTATGAGGGTCACCCCTAACTTGTTTAATTTGTGTTATTAATTGTATATTTGTATGTATGTATGTATGTATGTATGTATGTATGTATGTATCTATATTTGTATCTAGGTGAATTTCAAATATTTGTGATTCTATTTAATTAATAGTTTGATATCCGATTCTCACTGCAACAGAAATGGCGACTTCAGTGGGGAATATTCTAGGAGTGTTATCCATAACTTGTTTAATTTGTGTTATTGATTGTATATCTTTATGTATGTATATTTGTATCTACTTGGGTTTCTACCTTTGTATGGTGAGATAAGTCTTATACCCGGAGTTGAGTGTACTTACGATATGAAGGTGATATATTCAAGGAGGCTTATAGGGAGTTGATTCTCTACCAAGCTAATTTAAGAAATTGCCACTCAGTTGAGGCCCTTTTGAGAGTATTGTTGTTGAATGGATATCCGTGAAAACATTACTACTCTCGACCTATAAGCTCGTGACACTGAGAACCTTTAGTTACCTTTTCACCCCAACATGGTCTTTCTTAGAATGTAGTGCGATGACTATGAGGGAGTAGTCCCAAAATAGTTGATACGCGATACTACACTCAAAAGAGGTTCTCTTGAGAATATTATTAACCACCGAGTAATTAGGAAATTGATAATATTCGAAAGATGGACTAATGACTTTGGGAACTTCTTAGAACCTTTGTTATGCAGATATAAGAACCCTTAGTACATACCTTTTGGGATGGGTAGACCATGGCTCTATGTTTGTGATATTCAAACCTAGGCCCTTGTTTATTTACCTGTACACATGTGTTTATGTGTGTTTGTTCATCCATACATTCATGCAAACATGAGCAACCTTTCATTTCAAGGAATTCAATTGTTCTTTCCATTGCAAAATCAACAAAGAGCATGGATTTTAAAATATACTTTTTCAGTTTTTTCAAAATGTTTGCAACTTGCTTTTGAATTCCTTGAAATCATTGCATTGCATTGCATTCATGTCGTTGCATGTGCATTTTCCTTTCACATTTTGCTCATTGTGTTGTCTCATCTTTAGTTCTTTCACCCTGAATCCTCTGCGCCCATACAATACCAGAGCTCAAGCTCGTAGAAGGATGGCGGAACATAATCAAGAACTTGATTGTGTCAGCAATGAATTAGAAGACCTACGGGGAAGTGTAGGGTAAGTTATGGAGATACTACAGGTTATGCGCGCGAAAATGGATACTCATGCCACTGTTGTTTCTGAGATTGTCAATATAGTTGTGGAGCCTCAACCAGCAATTGTTACTACAACAAATGTACCTCCATACGGTCTTCCACCAGGTTTTGTATTTGCACCTACTATAATCCCCATTGTTCAACAAGTTGTTCCTTTGGTTACCGAAGCTCTTAATGTGATTCCAACTTTTGCACCAGCTGTTGTGCATACCCATGTGCAACCATACTTCAATGAGCATCAATTAGTATATGATGTCCCTGACATGAAGGAAGATGGGAATGAACATCATGAGAAACTCAGAGAAAATGTGGAAATTATTGATAAAAGGTTGAGAGTGATGGAAGGAGATCAAGTATTTGGTGCTACTGCCAGAAGTGTGTCTTATATCTGGTCTGGTTATCCCTCCAAAGTTCAAAACTCCTAGCTTTAATCATTATGAAGGAACTACATGCCCAAAGAGTCATTTGATCATGTACTATCAAAAAATGGCTGCTCATGTTGATAATGATAATTTGATGATTCATTGTTTCCAAGATAGTTTGAAGGGTGCTTCGTCAAAATGGCATTTAAGTCTGGATCAGTCTCGCATTAAGAGTTTCCAAGATACCTTGACCACAATCAAAAGTTCCTCACTCTCATTGAGGGGAACTACGAATGCTCTGATTCCATTCCCATCAGGATACGTAAGCACGAGATGCGATGTCTTGGCGAACATACTTAGGAATAATACCTTAGGTTTTCCCTTTATCCTTTTTACCTTTAACAGACAAGATAAAACAAATAAAACAAGAGGTTCCTATAGAGTACTACAGATACTTAGGATGCTAACAACTTCCCTAGGTATAACCAACCCCTAAACCTTAGATTCTCTTTTGCATTGTTTCTATATTACAATTAGGGTTTTCAACCCAACATGGTCTTTCTTAGAACGTAGTGCGATGACTATGAGGGAGTAGTCCCAAAATAGTTGATACGCGATACTACACTCAAAAGAGGTTCTCTTGAGAATATTATTAACCACCGAGTAATAAGGAAATTGATAATATTCGAAAGATGGACTAATGACTTTGGGAACTTCTTAGAACCTTTGTTCTGTAGATATAAGAACCCTTAGTACATACCTTTTAGGATGGGTAGACCATGGCTCCATGTTTTTGATCTTCAAACCTAGGCCCTTGTTTGTTTTCCTGTACATATGTGTATACATGTGTTTGTTCATCCATACATTCATGCATTCATGAACAACCTTTGATTTCAAGGAATTCAATTGTTCTTTCTTTTGCAAAATCAACAAAGATCATGGATTTTAAAAAAAAACTTTTTCAAATTTTCCAAAATGTTTTCAACTTGCTTTTGAATTCCTTGAAATCATCGCATTACATTGCATTCATGTCGTTGCATGTGCATTTTCCTTTCGCATTTTGCTCATTCTATTATCTCATCTTCAGTTCTTTCACCCTGAATCCTCTGCGCCCATACAACACCCTCAAGCTCGTAGAAGGATGGCGGAACATAATCAAGAACTTGATCGTATCAATAATGAATTAGAAGACCTATGGGGAAGTGTAGGGAAAATTATGGAGATACTATAGGTTATCCGCGCGAAGATGGATACTCAGCCCACTGTTGTTTTTGAGATTTCCAATACAGTTGTGGAGCCTCAACTAGCAATTGTTACTACAACAAATGTACCTCCATACAGTCTTCCACCAGGTTTTGTGCCTGCACCTACTGCAATCCCCATTGTTCAACAAGTCCAACAATTTGTTACTTTGGTTACCGAAGCTCCTTATGTGATTCCAACTTTTACACTAGTTGTTGTGCATACCCATGTGCAACCATACTTCAATGAGCATCAACCAGTATACGATGTCTCTGACATGAAGGAAGATGGGAATGAACGTCATGAGAAACTCAGAGAAAATGTGAATATTATTGATAAAAGGTTAAGAGTGATGGAAAGAGATCAAGTCTTTGGTGTTGTTGCTAGAGAAGTGTGTCT